TTATTTTCATATAGTCGGACTTGAGTCCTGGAAATGGGAAGTACAATGCCTGCACTTTAAAGGAGGGGTTTTGGGATATTGGCAGTTTGGAGGGATATGTTGTGTATCTCTATACGTATATGCTTCTAAACTGTTGTATTCTGAGCACCTCTGCAAAAGCAGTGATAATGTGTGAGTGTGGTGAAAGTGTTGAATAATGATGAAAGTATTTTCTTTTTGGGGATTTTCTTTCTTTTTTTTGGGTCACCCTGCCTTGGTGGGAGACGGCCGACTTGTTGAAAAAAAAAAAAAAAAAAATCTTTTATTTTTTTTTTATCACTGGCCGATTCCCACCAAGGCAGGGTGGCCCGAAAAAGAAACTTTCACCATCATTCACTCCATCACTGTCTTGCCAGAAGGGTGCTTTACACTACAGTTTTTAAACTGCAACATCAACACCCCTCCTTCAGAGTGCAGGCACTGTACTTCCCATCTCCAGGACTCAAGTCCGGCCTGCCGATTTCCCTGAACCCCTTCATAAGTGTTACTTTGCTCACACTCCAACAGCACGTCAAGTATTAAAAACCATTTGTCTCCATTCACTCCTATCAAACATGCCCCTCGCACACAAATAAATAATTTGTAACTTTTATTCACACAAAAAAATATAAGATTTACTGTGATGTCATTTGTTTACACTGAAACAGCCAAGCAATGGACCATTTCTCCTAGGTTGAGCTCTATTTCAAGGTACTTTTCGTCGTGAAAGCAATCAAAATCATATCTATTTCTGTAATTTATCTTCCATTCTATCAAATGAGACCAAAACAATGAGAATACAACCATAAAAACCATTTGAAATTACCCCTAAGGGGTGGCTAATTGCTGAGACGTGAACTCCATTATTTATGATTAGATTTCTTTCATTTTTGGTGTATGTTAAGAAGCATCTTTCCATCATACATTGCCCAAGTTTCAATAAGATAGTCCAACAAACAAATGAGATACAATTCCCGAGATGAAGAGCAAGAGTCCCTCACCAGTGTCAAGGAACCTGCCTTGAGGTCTGCTCGCTTGTGGAAATTTTGCTCGCGTATGGAAGCAAAAAATCGACCCATCGACTGCTCGTATTTGGAAAAACTCGCACGTGGACACGCTCGCAAGTAGAGGTTCCACTGTATATTTTTAATAAAATAGTAGGACTCCTGAAAAATGTTTAGAATTTTTGGAGAGGCTGTGATCATAACCCTATTTTTTCCATTCATTATACAGGTCTCCCTCAACATTCGCGAGGGTTAGGGGATCAAGAGCCTCACGAATGTTGAAAAACCGTGAATGTTTGGTGCCCCAATATATTGTAGGGAAATATATTACAATACTGCTTCCTTAACTTGTTGAACCATGAATAATCATAAAATACATGAAAACGTCGTAAATTGTGCTAAATATATACATGTTATGCTTTAATAACGCATGTTATTTAACCCTTTGAGGGTCCGTCCCGTAGATCTATGGCTTTACATTCAGGGTCCAAACCGTAGATCTACGTCATGAGCTCAGCTCACTGATAAACTGTGAGTGGTACATTTGGGCCTAGATATGAGAATACATCTGTGGTATGTGTGCACCACATAAAACAGATCCTGCAGCAAACTGTGTATAATGAGAGAAAAAAAATGAAATCATGATTTTTCGATTAAAACAGCAACTTTGCAGTGTTTTTTCGTATGTTTTTTATAGTTGTATTTGCGATTTCTTGGTCTCATTTGATAGAATGGAAGACATATTACAGAAATAGAGATGATTTTGATTGGTTTTAGCACTGGAAATGGCTTGAAACTGAGCTCAAAGTAGCAGAAATGTTAAATTTTTGCCGATATTCAAGAGTAAACAAACGACCTCACACGTCTAATACACACCAGCTGTGGGTCTAATATCATTCACAAATATGGTGATGATATTATACAATTATTACAGTATTGGCATAACAGTAAATCTTCTATTTTTTGGTGTGAAAAAATTCATTATGTGAATAAAAAATTCAAAATGGAATTTATTTGTAAAGCCTCAAAACATAACTAATGAACAGAGGAAAATGTTAGTTTAGTGCCAGGAATGCCTACATTGTTCATTCTGGACCCTATTTTGAAATTGGAATATATTTGAACTTTGTGTTAAATATGGCCAAATTAACAATTTCCGATCACTTTTATTTTGTTAGTTGAAACAGTTGACTTGGCGATTTCTTGTGCTCAATCGATAGAACAGAAGTAATACAGTGAAATAGCTAAGAATTTGGTTTGATTGGAAAATGTAATTGGCCTAAAATGGGAGTCAAAGTCATGCAAAAATCGCCGATTCGTAAATATCGCTGACACATCAAAATTCGCGAGAACATAATTCGTCAATTTTCCACAAATTTCGTACTTTTTGTTTTATTACCTTTCACAAAAAGATTTCTCTACGATTTCATAAGAAAAAATAACAATTTTTTTTTTTTGAAAATTCTTGGACACTGGTGCGTGACTCCAGATTTGGGCCTTGACCCTGAAAAGGGTTAATTAATTATTATTATTGTTATTATTATTATTAAAATTTATTATTAGTTATTATTAGTTATTATTATTAGTTTATTATTATTAAGTTATTTTTAATTTAGTTTATATATTTATAAGTTATGTTATTAGTTATTGTTATTAGTTATTGTTATTAGTTATTGTTTATTAGTTATTGTTATTAGTTATTGTTATTAGTTATTGTTATTAGTTATTGTTATTAGTTATTGTTATTAGTTATTGTTATTAGTTATTGTTATTAGTTATTGTTATTAGTTATTAGTTATTGTTATTAGTTGTTATTATTAGTTATTATTGTTATTAGTTATTGTTATTAGTTATTATTAGTTATTGTTATTGTTATTAGTTATTGTTATTATTATTGTTATATAGTTTATTGTTATTAGTTATTATTTATGTTATTAGTTATTGTTATTAGTTATTGTTATTAGTTATTGTTATTAGTTATTGTTATTAGTTATTGTTATTAGTTTATTGTTATTAGTTATTGTTATTAGTTATTGTTATTAGTTATTGTTATTAGTTATTGTTATTAGTTATTGTTATTAGTTATTGTTATTAGTTATTGTTATTAGTTATTGTTATTAGTTATTGTTATTAGTTATTGTTATTAGTTATTGTTATTAGTTGTTATTAGTTATTAGTTGTTATTAGTTATTGTTATTAGTTATTGTTATTAGTTATTGTTATTAGTTATTGTTATTAGTTATTGTTATTAGTTATTGTTATTAGTTATTGTTATTAGTTATTGTTATTAGTTATTGTTATTAGTTATTGTTATTAGTTATTGTTATATTAGTTATTGTTATTAGTTATTGTTATTAGTTATTGTTATTAGTTATTGTTATTAGTTATTGTTATTAGTTATTGTTATTAGTTATTGTTATTAGTTATTGTTATTAGTTATTGTTATTAGTTATTGTTATTAGTTATTTGTTATTAGTTATTTATTATTAATTTATTATTAATTATTAATTTATTATTAGTTATTTATTAGTTATTAGTTATTATTAGTTATTTATTATTAGTTATTTATTATTAGTTATTTATTATTAGTTATTTATTATTAGTTATTTATTATTAGTTATTTATTATTAGTTATTTATTATTAGTTATTTATTATTAGCTGTAGCAGAAATGTTTAATTCTTTGCAGTGTTCAGGAGTAAACACATGTCACTGTCTAATACCTTTCCTAATAGCCATTCCAATATGCAGTCATGAATGGGTTTACATTATTTATTCTGTAGTTTAATAGGAAATAATGAACAAACAAAACACTCACCACACAGTGGTGGGAGGGCTGGCTGCCAGTTGCGGGGGTGGGAGGGAGGGTAGTAGGGACTCGCAGGTGGCGGGAAACTTAAATATGATTTGGCGGCTGGGAATTTGGTGGCTGGGAATTCGCGAATGTGTGAAGCCCGTGAAAGTTGAAAACGTGAATGTTGAGGGAGACCTGTACATATTTTGTAACACAAAATTGTACATTTGCTGACCATTTCTTGAATTGAACTATTAATTAGCCCTTTATTGTGGTAGAGATCGATGATATTTTTTCAAAGTGTGGAAAGGCTTTCCAACAACGTCGTCTACAAGATGTAGATGGGGTATATAAAGAGCCAAGATTATGTGGATCTTGACGGTCGCTGTGTGATGAACTAGCTTGCATAGCATTACCAAACGATTCTACACAAGTATTTGTCAAGAGTTTTGAGTCTTAGTATAGTAAAAGCATGCGTTCTTTTTTCAATGCACCGGCCATATCCCACCGAGGCAGGATAGACCAAAAAGAAAACCAAAAGTTTCTCTAACTTTAATAATGTATACAGGAGAAAGGGCTACTAGCCCCCTTGACACATCTCTTAACTGTTCTTAGACACCTCTGAGAGAAGATATGGGTTCTTTTCACTCAATTCTCTAGCAGTTATCTTAGGTGTACTTGCTAACTGCTTCTTTAACACAGTTAAGGTACGAACAGATGTCTTCTTTGAGGGGCCAAGCCGAGGTTTGGCAGATGGTAACTCGACACCAGCCTTGAAATGCTGTGCCCAATTTCTCATTGAATGCTTACACACACCAATATTCTCCTCTATTTCTTTTGTCTGTTGCCCAACTTTGTAAAGTCCTATGGTTTGAGCTATAGTTTCAGGTGTTAGACTTCCTTTTACCCTTAATCAAACATGTATAGTCCTAAAACCAAAGGGAACACCGGACAAATGATGGGGCAGATGAGACAGAAGTGCAAAGTTTCCTCTCACCATGGCAGCCACGTGAGGACTGAGGAGTCACTGTGGAGTGTGGTGGCAGGCCGTGATGTCATGCTAACAGTTGCTACCCAGCATAATGCACTGATGAAAAAAGCCCTATGTATGGCAGGCCTTTGATTTTCGTCATGACATTATGCATAACGTTGTAATGCTACTGTAATATTGTCCAAATTTTTCAGTGTTGGCTGGGCTGTGAAAGAACTAAACCAGGTGATGGAAGGAATTGACGAGCACAAGACACAAGTATCAACAGATGTACACTCCACCACCCTCATTTTATCCAAGGTAAGCTATTTAGTTCATTTTATTTTTCATATTTTTACTTTTATTTTTTTTTATTTTTTTTAAACTTTTAATGGCTGTCATGCAGAACTGTCAGGATCCTTTGTCGTATAGTTATACATCATTAGCTCGGCTTACCCATATGAGCTGTGGGCTCTAAATTTTTGCGTAGATATGAGAAATGGTTCTGGGCAGTGAATGTGCACAGTATGAAAAAAATTCTGACCCCCCCCCCCCCACAGCCATTACAGTCTCTCCTTGCTTACCAGTGTACTTGTTTACCGACGACTTGGACTTACGATGGGCTCTTGACCAGTATGCATACCTAAATAATGTATATTAGAGCTGATTTCCTCTATTCTGCTTATTACAATATATAGTACTACTGTGTAAACATTTAAACAACAAACATTAAAACAATATCAAAGTTGGTTGACTAAAACCCACTACCATTATAATACGTGTGCTCCTTGCTTTGCAATGAATTCATTTACTGATGTTTTAGGAACAGAACACCGTCGTTATGTAGCTTGAAATTGGTCACAGGAAATTTTTATTTTTAGTGATATTCCTGAGGACAGGTAAGGCATCCCTATAATCCTCTGTCTGCTTTGTGGGTTTTTAATTAGTCTCGGTCACTTATTTGGATGCTATAACCCACTACCAGTCATTCCTGGTCATACAGGAGTCCCGCTTTATGGCATTTCAGTAATGCAGCGGTTTTTCAGTTACACCCATTCTTCATCTATTCAGACTTAGTACAAATAATACATTAACCACTCACTTTAAGGATGAATATATTTTAAGATAAGCAATGAGTATTGTGTATACATTTTTTAGGCCTAGCTCTATTGCTCACTTAATGATATGTACATATCAGTTTTTTTTTTTTTTTTAAATACCCCAGTAGCCCGGAACCTGACCTGCTGTTTATGCTGATTGGTGTTGTGGTAAACGAGATTGATGGCCTGTTGATATATTGATTTTTGAAGCGTGGAAAGGCTTTTCCAACAACGTCATCTGCGAGATGTAGATGGGGTATAAAAGGAGCCAAGAATATGTGGATCTTGACGGTCGTTGTGTGATTTATTAACTTGCATAGCATTACCAAAGGATTCTACAATAATATCTTTAATTGTAAGAAGTTGGCACTTAAATTAAGCTCCAAGTTGTTTATGCAGAAATAAACAGCTTTTCTCTACATATAATGTAGGTAAAATTTTATTTGTTTCTTAAACTTCTACACCTGGACTTGTTAATTATAATATTTTCTGAAATTTTTCCAGTGTTGGTTTGACTGAAGATCAGAACTTGCAGATCGTTGAAGGAATTGACATGCACAGAAGTACCAGAAGAGTAAATATTCACTTAACTGAACATGTTTAACCAAGATAAGGCAGGCAGTGTTGACATGAAGTAAACAAAGCCCAATGCCAGGCTAACATTCCATGTAAAATGAAAAGTTTCTTGTATTTCCTAGTGATAATAAATTGGTTTAAAAGTGTCTTTAAATACCATTTTTCCTTTTATTGTGTGTTAACTTCTATCAAACTCATAAATTTCCCTATAGGTAAATCCAGCCTAGGGCCTCAAAATCTGTGGTGTCTCGTGTCAAGGTGTATAATTTTGACTGTCATGAGCCTTTCTTACACGTTCCTTGCATGCATTCCATTTCAGAATAATGCTGTCTTAAGCCAATAAATTGGCACTGGTATTGAATTCTGCATTGATTTTGTCCTTCCAGGACAGCAAAGAGAAGTTGAAAACACAGCTGTGCAACTCTCTCCTCTTCAAGGGATGGGCTCCTTGGCGTGATGAAGAGGCTTTTGGTTTGAGGAAATGGACCTTTGTCTTGTTCCTCAGACCAAACCTAATTGCCTCCCAATCCCCTCTCCCCTTTACCATCCTCCCTATCCCTTCTTTCCCATTCCTCACCTGTCCCTTGCCTGTTTTCAGCCTTTGGGGTCCTCCCTTCAGGCATTCTAGTTTCTAGGTAGGGGGAACTGTACCTTAGTCCATTTCTATCCATTGAGGTCCTTGGTGATGGTGTAGTTTGCTGTTGAATCTATATCTGGGGATGTCCTGATCCCTCTCTGGTCTCCCAGAGGGAGGCTTTAGGTGTCTTTCGGGTCATGGGTGTATCTTCAGAGGTTACCTGTCGGATTTGAGATAGTGGCCAAAGGAGGTATGCCTTGTGGCGGGTATTCAGCTGCCCTCTTTGTCCATCAAGGTGGCTCGGTAGATGTGAGGTTACTATCCTGGATTGCTGGTTTACTGGCATGAAGGGAAAGGTATGGTATGGGTTCCATGCAGCATCTGCACTGCTTGCTGTGCTAAGGTCTTCTTGAATGTGGAGAGGGATTTACAGCCATTTCATTCCTTGTAGGAACTACCCCACCACGTTTCCTCCCTTTTTTTATCCAGAAAAAGGAAAACTTTCAGGCTTTCTGATGCAGCACCCTCTTAGACCCTGCTCTATTATTGGACCTTTCTAATGCCCTGCCTCTTCAAGGGGGGGCTCCTTGGCGTGGTGAAGAGGCTCTTGGTCTGAGGAATTAGCCCTGTCGGTCTTCTTCCTCAGACCGAACCTAATTACCCCCCATTCTCCCCTCCCCTATCCCATCCTCCCCTTTTTCCATTCCCCCTCCTCCCCACCCCTCCCTTTTGCCCTTCCTCTTTTTGGCCTTTGGGATTTCTCCCACAGGCACGCTAGTTCCTAGGTAGGGGAAAGGACACCGGGGTCCATCCCATTCCGTTGAGGTTCTTGGCAGTGGCGTAGTTTGCCGTGGAATCTGGATTGCCTGGGGATGTCCCGATCCCTCTCCGATATCCCGGAGTAGCTTTGGGTGTCTTTCGGGCGACGGGTGTATCTCTGGAAGCCACCTTTTGGATTCCAGGGGTGGTGGCCGGAGGAGGTATGCTTTGTGGCGGATATCCGGCCGCCCTCTTTTGTCCACCGAGGTAGCTCGGCAGATGTGAGGTTGCTATCCCGGATTGCTGGTTTACTGGCATGAAGGGTAGGGTATGGCACGGGTTCCATGCTGCATCTGCGCTACTAGGGGTGTTGAGGTCCTCTTGGGCACGGAGGGAGATTTCCGGCCCTTTCATTCTTCCTGGGAACTATTCCTCCCGCTCCCCCCTTTTTTTATTTTTTTTTTTATTTTTATTTTTCTTTTTTTTTCTTAAAAACAAAAAGCAAAGGAGTAACTTAACCATGGCAGCCCTAGTCCATGAACCCACTACCCCGGGCCCCTTCTTGATACCGCACCCCATTCTGATCCTGCCTTGTGTTTAGACCACTCTTCGGACACTCCTGATGCCCCTGTACCTCTTGCTGGTGCTGTTTCCTCACCCGCTTCAGTACCGGGGCTTCGACCGACTCCTTCGATTTGTCTGAACTCCGCTCTCCTTTGACTATGCTTCCGGCTTCTCCCTCTACGGTACGGCAATTTTCGAATTGCCCGCCCATTTCACGCCGGACCAACTCCGGTCCTACTCCTAAACGCCAACGTCAATCTCCTGATGATGCTCCTTCGTTACCTTCCCATTCTACTCGGAAAAGACCGACACGTCAAGCACTCCCTCTCCACGCTCAGTTTCGGACCACACAATGGACTAAATTCTTTACTTTAAGACCGACTTCTCCTTCTGCCTACCTTTCTGACCATAGTATTGGCAAAGCGCTCCTGCGTCATGTTGGCAGAGATATTTCATTTCATGCTCTCGAGCGGTACGCGCATCGTCACTGTCCAGAATGCTACCCAAGCTCATGATCTTTCTTTCCTTTCGAATATCGATACTACTACTATCACTATTGAAAAACATCTTTCTCTCAATTCTTGTAGTGGTACTGTCATTCTGCCCCATACCATAGTCCAACAGAATTTCCAGTCATGTGGCAATGACATTTTTGAACAGCTGGAACTCCAGGATCTCCCAATCCTCAAAGTAGACACTTAACGTCCTTCCTGCCCGGGGGCGGAGACGTTACCCTTGCAATGTGGCTCGTTTAACTTTTGACAGCCGTGAACTCCCATCCTCAGTTTGTGTACCAGGACATAGGTTACAAGTTCGAAAGGTGATCCCTACACCGCAACAGTGTAGAAATTGCTGGTGATTTGGCCATCGAGCGAAATATTGCAGATCTATTGCCGAATACGTCTTGCAATCGACCTCCCTCTTGCCTTAATTGTCATGAGGCTCACCCTTTGTACTCTCACCATTGTCAAGTCTACTTAAACGAGCGGGAAATCCGTTACCTCAAAGAGGCAGAAGGTCTCCCTTATGCCATAGCAGTTTCTCATCTCCGCCTCCAAGGGAGACTACCTCGTGTTTCTTATTCCCGTGTTTCAAAACGTCCCCCCACTCCTGGTATCCCATCTTCTGCACCCACCTCTGTGGTTACCTCTCCCATAGTCACTCCTGTAGCTAATTCTTTTGCTGTCCTCGGCTCAGACGTCCCTACTTCAACGTCTGTCTGATCTTGCTTCTTAGTGTTCTCTCACAAGCCTCAGTAGCGACGAGATCTCGTATGACACCTCCTCCCAATTGTCCCTCTACTTCTCAAAAGTCAAAAAAAAAGGTCCGTTAACACCTCCTACCCATCTTCCACCACCTCATTTTCCCTTCCCGTGTGGCCCGGTGGTCTGGTGGCTAAAACTCCCGCTTCACACACGGAGGGCCCGGGTTCGATTCCCGGCGGGTGGAAATTCCGACACGTTTCCTTACACCTATTGTCCTGTTCACCTAGCAGCAAATAGGTACCTGGGTGTTAGTCGACTGGTGTGGGTCGCATCCTGGGGGACAAGATTAAGGACCCCAATGGAAATAAGTTAGTCCTCGATGACGCACTGACTTTCTTGGGTTATCCTGGGTGGCTAACCCTCCGGGGTTAAAAATCCGAACGAAATCTAATCTTATCTTCCCTGTCTCTGTACCTGGTTCTCCCCCTCTCACTGGCTCTGTTACAAGTGTAGAGGTTCACCCTCCTTGTACTGTACCTTCCTACCCTGTTCCCTCCCAAGTTTCTTCCTCTTCTGCCACCTCCCAGGTTTCTGCCTCTTCTGTCCCCTTCCACGCTTCTCCAGTTCCCTCCACCCTTCCATCCCCCCCTACCTTGGTACAGTCCATTACAGTTCCAATCTTTACTCATCCTCCCCCTACCATTTCCAATATTGTCTCCCATATGACGTCTCTGAATTCTGAAACGCTTGAAGCAATCTCTGAATATATTGCAGAGACCAAACCATCAATGGACACTGATCCACCCTCCGCTGTATAATCCTACGGGTTTAGCGCTTCCCCCTTGATTATAATAATAATGATCCACCCTCCGCTCCTCTCTCCTCTACTCCATCTGCGCAACTCCTTTCTTCACAGCGCACCGTTCCTTCGCTGCTTGAACGTTTTCCACTGCCTCCGCATGTGGACTTTTCTAACCCCTCTAGTCCGTAGGAACCCTTACCTGCAGATTTCAGGTATCTTTATCATTGCCAATCATGGCCTATTTACAGTGGAACATACACGCCTCAGGGGTAATCGGGGTGAGCTTCAGATGTTACTCTCCCAGTTTTTCCCTGTTGGTGTTTGCTTACAGGAACCAAAATTACACTCTGCTGTTATCTCTCCCATCTCAGGCTATAATTTATTGTATTCTTCAGATCCTTTTCCTGATGGGACCTTTAATGAAAGTGCCCTTCTACGCACTGATATTCCGTACTATCAGCTATTTGTTCGTACTTCGCTGCATTACACAGCAGCCCGTATCCACTTGCATAGGTGGTATACGCTCTGTTCTTTATATCTCTCTCCTTCTCGGGCATTATCTATTCCGGATATTGCCTTTCTTGTTTCATCATTACCACCACCGATTCTGTTACTTGGTGATTTTAGTGCTCACCATTTCCTCTGGGGAAGGGTCTCGCTGATTCCCGTGGCATTCAGTTAGAGGCTTTTCTTGCCACCCACCCCCTCCCATGTTTTAAATACAGGTACTCGCACCCATTTTGATCCTCGGACTCTCACACACTCTTGCATCGATCTCTGTCTGCTCTTCCTCTGCCGCATTAGACTTCACTTGGTCTGTTCTTCTGGACTTACATGACAGCGATCATTTACCAATCATTCTTACTTCCCCTTCATATTCACCACCTCTTCGCATCCCACGTTGGCAATTTGATCAGGCAAATTGGAACCTTTACTCACACCTAACTGTTTTTAGAGAGGTTCCTTCTTCGTCCTCCATCGATGAGCTTTTACACCTCTTCTCGTCCTCCGTTTTAACCGCAGCTTCTCATTCCATACCCCAAACTTCGGGCAGGCATTCTCAGAAATGCGTGCCTTGGTGGTCTCCTGCTTGTGCTGGTGCAGTACGTTTGAAACGCGCTGCATGGGGCAGGTACCGGTACAATAGAACCGCTGAGAGACTTCTTGATTTTAAGCAGAAGCGTGCGATCGCTCACCGTGTCATCCGTGACGCTAAACGCACTTGCTGGCGAGATTCTC